AAAGTTGAAATGCCAACTTTCCTGGCGTTGAACTTGGGTTTCAAACTAGTATTTGACCTACTGGGCTCATGAAGGTGCCTAAGTAGATTCTGTAAAAGTTGCTGACCTATAGAAGTTCTTCAAATGTATTTGTATAGTCAGATATTTGCAGTTTTGGGTGATAACAGAGTTAATCACCAGGAGTTACACGCCTGAATCAATTCAGAGTCATTGATAAAGCCTGCTTTATGTGTTAACCGGCAGTCCTCAGGAACACAGTTGGGAAGGAAATGAATGTACAGTAATGGGTCACCTGGGGCCTTCATAGACCCAGCCACATGGATTTCTGTGGTCAAGAGGTATGTTTTCTTTTTCTCCCCCCAATTGGGATCCTTGTGTCTATGGAGAGAAAGAACCCCATTCTCTTTTCTGTGCCGAGGCATCCCTGGAGACTGTTGGCATACACTTTGTGGAGAGCCTACGTATCTAATACGGTCATATCTCACTGTAACGGAATAAAAAGCCATCCATTGTTCTCACATGTGTGGGGGAGATAGCCCAGTTTGGGGTTTGTTGCCAGTTTTTGATAATGCCATGCGTGTGGAATTCTTGGTAATGCATCCCGCCCCCATCTGCTCCTATAAAACTTGTTGAAGGTAACCATAAATGTTGGTGATTTATGGCCCCGGATACTTGGGGCCTCATTGGAAATAGTGGCTGGGGAACGTAAAATGCTTTCAGTGCACTCTTTAGAAAGTTAGGGAGGCTGAAAACGTCCCATTTACCTGAAATTTGTGAGGCTTAAGACAAAAAGAATGAAGATAGCTCTTGTCCAGGCCATGGAGCATTAAGAGACGCCTTAATAGGACAGTGGAGCAACTTCTTAGGTCCTCGTTTAGTCCTAGGAAGCAATATCTTGGTTGCTTCACCTTCTTTAGCTTACCTGCTTTAGAGAACCTGAACAGGTACCTTGTAGAGAACAATTGCAGTTTTCTACATAGTTATCCCTCCACATTTGCTTGGGTTAGGGGCTCAGGACCCCTATGAAAATGGAAAAACCACAAATAAACAAATGCTTTTTCTTTTACCTGAGCGGTATACAAATATAGTAAATAAATAAATAAATAAATACATACATACATACATACATAAATGCAATTAAAACATAAAATTACTAAAACATTGTTTAAATCACACATGTTTGATATAACAGTCCAGGTCAGTCCATTGTCGTCCACACAAATTAGGTCTCATTCTAAATTGCTGCCTCTACTGTTTGAACGCTTGGACCTATAAACAGGTTTTGAGTTTCATTCTAAAGGACAAGAGGGAGGAGGCCAATCTAATGTCACTGGGTAGTGAGTTCCACAGGCGGGGGGCCACCACCGAGAAAGCCCTGTCTCTCGTCTCCACCAGTTGCGCTTGTGAGGATGGTGGGACCGAGAGCAGAGCCTCTCCTGTTGATCTTAGACTTCACGATGGTTCATAGCAGGAGATATGTTCAGACAGGTAAGCTGGATATTAGGGATGTTCGCAAGTCCATCTTCTAGACATTGCTTTATCTATGCCTCTGCAAGCATTCCTACTTCCTGGTGGTGAGGAAATGCTTTGGAAAA